GACCTTGACCTTTGTTGACCTTGACCTTTGTAGGATCAAACGTCATTGGCATTGGCTATCTATTTATACTTTTATATTTGCTGTCCTAAGTCAATTTCCGGTTTTATAGTCGTTAGCAATTTGAAATTTTAATGGCGTATATCTCTTGATCTTGACCTTTTTAGACCTTCTCCTTTACAGGATCAAAGGTCATTGACCTTGGCTATCTGCTGATATTTTCATTTGTGAGGTCTGACGTCCACTTCCGGTATTAGAATCTTCTAAAAAATGAAAATTTCTCAACTTTAGACTGTTCTTGCGCTTGATCTAATTATCGTGGAAGGTTGATTTTTTCGGGGTCTTTTGCATTTTGCTACATTTGCAAAGTCCCACTCTGTGCCACGAGTGGCTCTAGTCTATTATTGTTATGATTCCAGAATCCAGAATGCCTTATCAAAAATTTATAGTCTAGCTGAATGGTCTTCAGCTCCATCCATATGCCCGAAAACGTCTTTTCTCTTGTATGTTGGATTTATATGCAATAGAGAATGCGTTGGTTTACTCCAGTGGACGCTATCAGGTGCAAGTTGTGAACGAACAATGAGTTTTGTCTAGCATTGTATATTATATATTAGATTGAGTTGTCTACATCTCTTAAGGGGTCCATACACGTTCAATAAAACCATCAATATTATAGATTGGCTCAATGTATTGACGGATTCTCTACACATATTGTGTTTCAATAGATTTACGCTCTATTGTCCAGGTATTGTTGAATCTTCAATAAAACTGAAGATAGCTTCCATCCACTTCCAGCTGTCAGAAATGATAACAAAGTGGCCCAGTCATGTTTTTAGGTCAATGCCAAACCTTTTCGAACTTGGCCGAAATCGCATGCATACCAGGTTTCATCAAGATCGGATAAAAACGGTAGCCTCTATCCTGCCAAATTTGACAGGGCAATGACTCCCACACCGTTCGTCCGATTATTATTAAATTAATCAGTATATATGCATGCATACCAAGTTTCGTTAAGATTGATTCAAAACTGTAGCTCTATCGAGTATAGAAGAAATGTAGACGAACAGAGACGACAGCAATATTATGTCTAAATTTCCGTGTGGACGTTTAAAAGTGATATGGAATCAATCGTATTCATCAATATAGGAAACACACTCAATAATATTGACTTAATATTGTTAGTAAAATGTGTCACTTAATCTTTTCCTAGTCACGGACCCAAGGTTTGCTTGGAGGTAAAAAAAAAGAAGCCGATTAAAATTCCTTACCGTTAAACGTGCAATCGAGGGGGGCAATTTAGCAAAGCACCTTAACAGACGATTAAACGTCGGGAAACGGACTTTCATGGAGTATTTTAGATTCGAGATTATTTTTGTTAAAACACACAAGTTATAATACGTTACATTTTTATTGCCGTTTTAGTTTAAACGTAGTCGGGTATGTTTTATGGCAAAACGTTGAACAAATACGTCCAAGTTAATTTTCTGGGTACGTTCCTGTTGAAGGCAAGAAGAACAAGATTACGCTGACGAAGCTGAGTCATAGATCGTCGTTGTGGTGAGTCAACGCGAGTAAGAGTTGAAAAGCTGCTTTCACACACAGCGGTACTAGAACCGAATGTGGCAACGCTTGCAGCCAGTGCATATAATTTAGGGAAAGCCAATTTCTGCTCGTATAGTTTTTGAAGAACAAGATTGGAGTCCCGATTTTCTATCTTGGCAACGTTATCTTCGAGAAATTGTTTTGACACCTCAATTGTTATGCTTCTCGAGGCCCTTTCCAGTATCACCTACAGCATGCTTCCAATCTGTGTAGCCTTCAGTGATGAATTTTTATGCACCCGCAGATGTATTGTGAAACACCCGACATGGAAATCAAAAAGGGGCGTACCTTGACACTGAATACTCCAGCCATGGAAATTGATCATACCAGCTGTTACTAAAATGGCGACCAGACTTCGCTGGAAATTTTATTCTCGGTTGCTTTGGAACGTCTTCTTTTCAAAGCATCTTGGTACTGCATCCGTTGTGTTGCCCGCTGTGGTTTTGATACCATTGTCAGTGGTAGTAGTGTCGGAACCATCAAGCAATTTGTCTTTTTCTTACGTTTGGTTGTTTGATTCATATGAATACAATTTAGTATAATATATGTCTATTAGTATTTATAATCAACCAATCAAATCTTTTGAATTTTGAGACAGGACAGATTACAATCCAGTATCAGACCAATAATTTTGTTACCAATGACGCTTTACTGCATCCTTTTTATGATTTTCAACGAACTCAGTTTTATCAAATTATATATTCTAATGTAATTAAATTTAAAAATGTTATGAAAAGCTATGATTTCTGGTTTCATCCTCAGCTAAGTATAAACAGAAAGATATTGAAAAACAGTTCTTAAGTAGGTCTACAGATAGGAATACTTAGTATTTTGTTGAACCATTTCGCATAACACAGCCCTGAAAGCCATAACCTTATTTTTCGTTACGTATAATCAAAATATCGAAATACTTATCATATGATCGACAATGCAAGAGCAGCTGACTGGTGCACTTACTCCACCATAAAATGCCTGACCAGAATGACCACTGTTGGCTATTCACTCAGACTCAGTTACCTGCTGCTCCTATTGACTCAGGAAAAAGAAAAGGTGTATTTTAAAAAGTGACATTTTTCTAGGGGGGTTTGATTTGATTTGGCTACGGGCCTGGATGAGACCAGAGAGATTGTACTTACTAATGTATTGTTCACGAATGTCCGCTTGTGCTGTACCATTACCTTAGCTCGTGTTCAACCGTTAAACATAACAAACCGTAACAATGTTCATGTTGACTGACCAGTTTGGAAGTAACGTGACAGCTTGCCAGTCTACAAAGAAGAACTCGGTTTTATTTCCTACATACTATAATATGCATTAAAGCTAGTTTACTATTAGGGATCGTGGTAATAAAATGAAATATTTTCAGAGTTGTATTTTTATCCAGGTGGATGTGCTATCGTGTCTAGTGTAGGGGAAACTGAGACGAGAATGTCAATACAAAACAATTTTAAACTTCTGAATGACATTCTAGAGAAATGTGTATCTGACAATATTATCACAAAGGTAATGCTTCTTTGGTTACTGTTGTATAATGAAATGATTTCAATTTTCAGACAGATATAACTATATCTATTACCAACATCCTGGTCTTTCATACATTGGTTAGAATATAAGACCTTCTTATGCCATAATTTTGGTCACTTTGTACTTATCTAGACCGAAAAGGAAAATACCACCTATGCAGCGTGTTTTAGAAGACAAGATGAAATAAAAGAACCCTTTGTGAATTCAAACGTTTTGACTGACTTAGGTTTACACCTCCATCAAGTAAAACAAGAGTTAGTTCCTTGTTTCTATACAGCTGAGTGGAAACAAAGATTAGATACAGGTATGTGTGCTTAGTTATTAGTGTAATAAAATACAAACAACTTTTAACAATTGAACTAAATTAACTACCTCAAAACAAAGATAGGGTTCTAGTAGACTGTCCTAGTTAGATCATAGAAAGTGAAGCGTTATTTATTAAGAAATTATGCAATTTTCGTACTTTTCTAGTTCTTCTACAGACCTTTTACATATATTCAAGACTCAAATCAACTGCAGTACCTTTAAACAATTTATCCAATGCTGATTGGATGAAAAAGTGTTCTACTATGATTATGTTTTATACTTTAGGTGTTGATGATCGAGACAAGTTTGCGCACGATTTTACCAGTAATGTTCGTACTTTTACTTACAGTAGCATTTATAGAGCACTTCACAGCAACAGGTCAGAACAAGAAAAATCCATAATTTGTGATAAATTCTATAAAAAATATGAGAATGCTCTTCGAAATTCTTATCCGCCAGATCTGGATAGCCTCAATATATTGCAAGTTGCTTATGTAAAAAAGAAATAGTGCTACTTTTTATGTACAAATTCCTGGAGCATGGTGCCAAATGTAAGAATTGTTCACTATTTATCTTGTAATCATTAATAGAAAATTAAGAATTGTTGTTAAACAGAGTATGGTACCCGGGGCAAACTAGAAAATATAGGAAGGTAATACAATAGGTATGGGTTCGGATACGATTCCTGCAAAACCGATAAAATTCCCACTGATATTACTTCCTTGTCAGAATTCAAGCCAATTTCTGAAGATGAAATCAAGAATTATACTGTCATCTTCTTCAGCATCATGTGATCTTGACCCCATTCCGACGCGCCGTCTAAAACAGTGCCCTGATGAATTAATTCCCGTAATCACACATATCGTGAATACTTCAGTAATAACAGGATCTGTACCGAAAATTATGAAAGAAGCTCTTGTGTTCCCTCTACTAAAGAAATCTAGATCTGGATCTCAGTGCCGCATTTGATACTATAGACCAATCCATCTTACTAACTCGATTACATGAAAGGTTTGGCATTAAAGGTGATGCTCTGAAATGGTTCAAGTCATATTTACATGACAGGACTCAGTCAATAGTGATTGGAGATAGTGCTTCTGACCCGACTGTACTTATGTTTGGCGTCCCACAAGGATCTTGGTCCTCTACTATTCTCAGCTTATACATCACCTCTTGGACACACAATAAGAAACTGTAATCTTGGATATCATTTATACGCTGATGACACCCAGTTGTATTTATCTTTAAACCGACTGAATGAAAGTGAGCAGCTAGGTAATCTTGAACAATGTGTGGAGCAGATAAGACTCTGGATGAAGAATAATTTCTTAAAACTAAATGACGATAAGACAGAACTATTGAAAATGGGAACTAGAAAAAAATTGGCTAACACATCAAGGAATTCAGTAAATATCGGCGAATCAAACGTGTCATACTCACAATCTGTTCGGAATCTTGGTGTATTTTTTGATAACAATCTGTCGATGGACTCTCATATTAATTATATCTGTAAAACTACTAACTTTCATTTGTATAACATTGGTAAAATTAGGAACATGATCAATAATGAAACCGCTAAGTTGCTTGTGAATTCTCTTGTCACTTCCAGATCAGATTATTGTAATTCTCTTTTATTTAATATCTCTAAGGACCAACTTTGCCAACTTCAAAAAATTCAGAACAAAGCTGCCAGAATAGTATCAAGAACTAAGCTCCGCGAACATATTACTCCTGTCTTAAAGAATTTACACTGGCTCCCCATGCATAAAAGAATTGAATTTAAAATTTTAACAATGACATATTCAAGCTTAAATGCAGAAAATACTCCTCAGTATTTGAAAGACATTGTTAAGCCATATCGTGCCTTCTCATATGCTGCTCCGTATCTATGGAATAATTTACCTGCTAATCTCAGAAATATTGCCACCTTGCTATCTTTTAAAAAACAACTAAAAACTGAACTATTCATACAGTATTTTTCTTAATGCATGTTATTACTTGTAATGTTATCTTCGGTTGATAGGTCTTGAAGTTTCGTTTTTTTTTTGTCTATGTTATGTTGATTTGTAATATGCCATATTGTACAACAGCGCCATGGAGCAGCATTTGCTGGATTATAGACGCTATAGAAATAAATTATTATTATTATTATTATAGACGTGGACCCTTTTCAAGCATTCAGATTTGTCTAGTCTAAATTACAAAATAATTTTTACTAAACAAACTTATGTTGTTCGCAATTTATCAATTTCTATATATCTGGTATTTCGTTTAGATACGATCACAGACGTTCCGATAGACTAAGCCTAGATCTGACACAATTGATTTCCTATGGTATTATACGCTCAACACGATTATTTGTCAATCTGGATCATCTTATCAGATCATATTTTATATTAATATAACGTGAAGAATCGTATCTTATCGTGCTACGAAATCGGATCGATATTAGACGAGACAAATATCAAATCTTGGAATCAATCAAAAAGATCCGATCGGAACGTATATTATCTATCTGAACGGACGATAAGAATGTGACACCTGAAAATGGCAAATCGTGAACCGATCGCGTACGAGCGCTTAAAATCGCATCTCGCATCCAAACCTGATATCAGGAGCGAATGGCCTTGGAAACGAATAGCACGACATTTGTTTAACCTTTTTTGTCTTGTCCAAGGTCAATTTCTCTCAACACGATTTGAAAGCACAATAGATGCGATCCGTCGCTCTTGGACACGTTACAAAACGCTTTGCTACGGTGATCCCCAATGACAAAAAATGATCGTATTAATCGAACAATTCTAAAAGTTACCCCAAGATCTGCCAAGACATGAGAGGATCCCCGGAATTGTGATCACGATTTCAAAAGTGATCGGAATCGTGATAGTGGGAGCCTAACACGTGGACTAACGACGAAACTCTATTCTCAATGAGCGCCTAAATACAAGCCGTGAATGGAGAATTTGGTCATCTCTTTTTATGTGTTTATCACTCAACATGGTTATATCGTAACATTTTACTATTGTTTTCGCATATAAAAAGACCTTTTGAATATAGTTGTCAAGTATAAAAATAAATCATTCAGATTGGATTTGCAATTATATTATCTGACTTAGTTATCTCCCTTTAATAGTATTCATGATTCTTATTGTATCTTAACCAATACCAAAAGTTGAAATACCTTGAATGTTGCAAACATACAGACGCCACACCCGTCACATTACACTTGGGAAAGTAACGAATTTTAAATTCAAAGGCCAACTTATGATTTAATTTAATTCAATTTAAGTCGCCGATTGTGCACGATAACACTGCTATCAGGAAAGGATTCCAGCAAAATGTTATTTCTGTAAAAAAAAAACAACAATTTACATCATCATTTTAAGTCTGACGCATCAAAGAGACATGTATTATTGTTAAAATGCATATGGTCGAATTCATTACTGGGGAGAGATGACAAAAGAAATGTCTCATTGCCCTAAATGAAGGCCATTAGCTTTCAGCCTTCTTTACCCCATTATTGATTCCAATTAATTCATATATAAAACGTATGTACCTTTCCAGAGAATAATATTTGCTTTCGGAAATGAATTTTATTGAAATAACTGTTGATTATGATATTTGTCCAGACTCTTAGACCCAACTCTCTATTATCATGACCACTTGGTATGAGACTTTATTTCTATAATTAAGTCATATTAGATGTTTCTTGTATGTATTGTACTTTACAATACAAATGATATTTCCCCAGACGTAAATAACACCCTTCAAATACCTGCCTGTGATATAATTATTAATATTAATAATATCTTAATAGAAAGAGAAATGAGTAGCATTTAGAGTGATATCAACTAACTTTATAACAGTTTGTTTTCTTAATATTTGGCATGAACATTTAGAAAAGAAAAATTGTCATTCAGCAAAACTGGCATGAGCATGAAAATTATAATGATAATCGTAGTGTGCAAGGAAAACAACCCCTGCGACTAATGTTTAAGCTTTTTTTTACATCAACTATCAAGGAGAAAACCAAGAAAGCACTATCCAACATTTATTGTATTCGATAATTGAACTATATTACTGGAATATCTTTCATGTTCAGGCTATAGAGACAACTATACATGTTTTGCTGGGAGTAGAAATCACAGAGGATTATAAACAAAATTCCATCCAGTTCCCTACAAATTCACCGCTGCTGATACCATCATAAATTTTATCAAACTGTTTTGATAGTGAACTAACCACGTGTATTAAATTTTATAGAAACATTCTATTGGGAACCCCATATTATATTGCAAAGATCGTGCGAAGATAGTTCTGTTAAAAAGCATTTATACAAAAAATAATAGTTCACTTAAATAGCGCAAATTACTGTATTTATCGGCAACTTCTCTTGAATATGAGTTCCTTTCTTTAGCTATTCAGCTTTTTCATTTTGTTGTGGCACGGATCAGGTTGTATCCGAAAAGGGACACATTATTATAGTACATGCGTTCAAAACAATATCCGAATCTCAAACACAGAAAAGACACAAGTGACGTGGGAACAGAAATGTTTGTATATTGCTGTTAACACTATCAGATATTAACTCGAGAGTTTGTGTCCCATAAATACAAATCGGTAAGTGAAATATCGATATAATTGTAATATCCCGTGCAAGGAGTAAATTTTAATCATATAAATTAATATTAAATTATAAATGCCTCCGTTCTCTCCGATTTTTTATGCCGCAGTGGCTCATTGAGTTAGACGCTTGCTCGCTAGCCTGAAGGTCCAGGGTTCTATCCCGACATAGACTTTTCAACCCGGTTTCTCCCTGTCAGTGAAGCAGGTAAGAGGGGCTGACATGGAAAAAGCGTCTAGTCGTTCGAATGGGACAATAAACCGAGGCCCCGTGTGCTACAGGCTGTGTACGTTAAAGATCCCTCGACAGTTGAAAATCGAAAATGAGCAGGCTAATGCCGCTGTCCTTGCAAAATTTCCCTCCCTTACATTGCACCCTGCATGGCGTTGCCCGTCTTCATTAGCCCACATGGTGCAGAAAAGTAGGACGTAAACTCCATTCATTTCACTTTCCGATTTTTGATATAAATGTCCCATCTTCTTTCAATCCTTTTCCTGCAACAGGCCTGCAAACACTAACTATTTAATTTTTGTGGCCTTTTTAACTGGTAAACGCATGATACATACATTATGGATTACCCCCCTCCAATAATTAGAAGGTGCCACTATTACCCCATATAGTAATCTATCGAAAGTTATAGGGTACAAATTTCAAGCTTTTACCTTACAAATTATATTTCTTTGACATAAGTCTCTTATTTTGCTTGACATTCCTCTTTCCTGTACAGCTGATAAAAGAGATATATTGATCGTATGATTTAAGCAATATTTATTATGCATGAATAAACATTACAATAATAAAATCGAAACATTGATTAAGAAAAAAAAATAATACAAAAGTTAATGTAATTCCGTCTCCCATAAGGTTTTCTTGCGTGGGCCAGAA